TGGGAACGCCCAGCACCTCCCGCACATGCAATATCGCACCAGTCCTTCCAGCGAGTAGAGCTGTCTCGGTCTGCCTGCTGCTTCGCATACTCCATATCTTCTTCGCATTCAGCAAGATATTGGTGTAATTCTTCGCTGGATGTTGAGGCATGACTAATCAACCGTCTAGCTCGTGTGACAGATGCGTCAAGACGATGATTGACATTTTGGCCCACATAGTCGGTCTCCAGGAATCCTTGGACTGCATCAGCGAGTTGCCTTTCTTGCTCTTGGCCACGGCTGTTCTTGAGCGCAGCAATCCCTTTGACAGCATCTGCAAACCATTGCCAGCCATCAGCAACTGCCTGGATACCTTCAGCGCATTGGCCTTCATATGCATAAGATATCAACTTGGGTCGAATCATGCCCTTGAAATTTTCTGGCGCCTTGATGAACGCGCCCGTGATGTGGCCTAGCCTTACTGCAGCCTTCCACGCCCAAAAACCCCACGCTCGCGATAGCACCTTCCACGCCACTGCGACAAGAGCAGCCGCTGCTTGGCGAGACGCTTCTGCAGCGTAGCTCCGCTCGAAATCCCAGTCGGCGTCGCACCACAATGGACCCACAACTTTCTCGGCTGCAATCTTTGCCCCTCCAACATATGTAAGGTGTTGCATTGTCGTTCCGTGGCCACGCAACGATAGCTGGACGGGGCGGCGCGGCTTCCTATGCCATGTCTTATATACCTGGCATTCCCTCATCAGCCGCATAGCTCCAGAACTCAAGGCGAAGAAGTCGATCGTCGTGGCGCTGGTCGGCCCCCTGCATGCGACCTGGCCTGGGCTGACAAGACCGACTTGTGCGTGCACTGGGAAACCCGATGCCTCAACCTCTTCGATAGACATATTCCAGCCGCCTCCTACAAGACATGGGTACTGTTGTCCAGCCATCGCGAGCCCTACGTCCATGAGGATCCTAGCGTTCCTCGTCGTCATGCCCTCGGCCGTGCGCAGGTATACGTTGAAGACGTTGAGGGGCGGCCATCCTTCCAGTTCCACAAGCACGTGCTGCGCTCGATGGGCTACCAGCTCTGACCCGAAAGCAATCTGCTCATTCGTCTCGCTTTGTCTTCGAGCCGCCGTAGAAGCAGGATACTCAGGGCCTCGTAACCCCACGCCTTCCCGTGCGAAAATAGCCAACCCACCTGACGGAAGAAGTCCATCTGTAGGCTTCCCAGGAATAGCCATCATCTGCCACTTGCGGGAACCAGCCCGTGTGCTGAGGGCCTCGCATTCCCAGTCCGAGTGTCCTATTTCTTGCGCTAGAACAACCAGCGCGCTAGTCCTTTCCAATCGAAGCTTGAGCGTCCGCTTCCCTTGACTGGCATTGAAGGTCTCGAACAGGTGCTCGCTTGTCATGGATACAGGCGCAGGAATAGCGCATGTCTTTCCACGACGTACAAGTAGCCCGCTTACACGCGGCAGGGTGCTAGGATTTACACCCTCCTGTTGGTACTGCTGACACTTCGTCTGTCTTACGAAACTTGGTTTTCTGGATGTCGGCCACCATGTCGGAAAGCTGGTCCATGGAAATGTCGTGGCCGTGTTCTCCCTGGCATAGCTTGGTATGAAGTGCTTCGACGTCCTCCGTGGTCCACTGGATGCCGTTGCCGCGCTTGGAGGACTCGCCGTTGGCGTCACCTTCGCCTCCGCTGCTTGGCCCATCAAGACCATCATCAGACTCAGGGCCAACAGGGACTTGCACACCATTCCTTGGCGCAGGAGCCTTGGGGATTGAAACCTCCAGCTTTTTGCTGCACCAACTTTTGTAACTTCTGGAAATTGGCGTCCGCGCGGCACTGGTGATAGAACTGCAGCAGGCCAGGATCTTCCTGGAAGTCCGTGAGGTTGACGTCGAGCGCCATGATGTCCTCGGGGACGATGGGTGCAGCACCGTCGGAAGCTTCACCTTGGGCAACTTGCACTTGCCGCTGATGGCGCTCTGCCTCCGCTTTGAGCTGCTCGACCTCGACCTTCTTCGCCTCGATCGACGCCGACTTTTCCGATATCTTCTCCTGCGGTCCTCGTAGCTGCAGCAGCAATGCCTCGTGATCCTTCGTGAGCTTGTCCAGCTGCGTCCTGCTGCGCTCCAGCTTCTGCGATGCCAGCTTGTACGCCGTTGCTGGAGGCCGCAGGTCGCGGATCTGTTCCCTGAGTTTGTCAACTTCAGCCTTGTGGTACGCGTGGGCCGCACCATCCTGCTCTTCGTACTTGACAGCTTCCTTGAGGGCACGCTCATGGTAGTTGATATTTCCCTGCAGCGCCGTCCTCTTCGCGAAGCTGGGGTCCTTCTCACTCTTCTCTTCCGTGTGCTGGTGCTGGTCGCCGTCAGCCTGAAGCCGAGGTGTGGGGCCACCTTTGCCGACGAGGTTCCGCAACTTCGCGATCTCGGCTTCCATGAGCTTGAACTTCGAGCACCACGGCGCAGGCTTCTCGATGAGCCCACTACCTCCAGCTCGCTTCGACGGTGCATCACCTGCGCGCTCAGCTGCATCTGCCTTCTTGGCCGCGGTGATGATGCGCTGCGGCGCCTGCTTGCCACAGCTGCACTCGATGCGGCACGCCCAGTTGCCATTCCTGCCACAGGAGCAGTTCCAGAATGGCTTCTTCGAACCTCGCAGCACCCTCGGCCTCGGCTGCTGCTCTTGCGCCTTGGCCGGCGCTGGCGCCATCGCCCCTGCTGAGGAGCCGCGATGGCCGTCCAAGCGCTGAGCCGCGCTGCGCAGAAGCGCCGCCAGGCCAGGAGTCCAGCGCCCCGCCCAGGCGTGGAGGAGGGCGCGATCCTCCTTGCGTCGGAGTCGCGCTCGATGGTGGGCGGCGGTCTCCCTGGGAGCCGCCGTCGCGCGAGCGCTAGTCTCAGCGCGCGACAGGAGCCGAATCCCCCTCGCCTGCAGCCCCGCAGGCGCCCGAAGGGGGGCGGCAGCTCCTCGCGAGCCGAAAACTGGAGGAGGAGGAGGAGGAGGAGGGGGAGGATGAGGAGGAGGAGGAGAAGGAGGAGGAGGAGGAGGAGGAGGAGGCGGGAGGAGGAGGCAGGAGGCAGGCAGGAGGCAGGCAGGAGGAGGCACGAGGCAGGCAGGAGGAGGGGGAGAAGGGGAGGCACGAGGAGGCAGGAGGCGGCAGGAGCATGTGTGAATATAGACAGAAGTCCCTGCGTTCTTCGCCATTATATGGCCCCTTCCCTGTCCCGAGGGCTCGCCCGCCCCCCCAGCCCTCTTGTCCCTACGGCCACAGGGGGCCTAGAAGGCCCCAAAACTTGCCAAGGGGCCTCAAGAGGCTCCCAAGACGTTCCAGGAGGGCCCCGAGTCGCCGAAAGATCGCGACAAGGCGCCCAAGATGGCCCCAAGATGGTTCTGGAAGCCCCCGAGATGCCCCACGAGGCCCCCAAGAGGCCGCCCAAGAGGGCCCCACAGCAAAAATCGCTCCCTTCCTCTCGGAAAGCGCTCCTCTCCAGCACACTTGACGGGCCCAGGAGAGGGCCCGGAGGGGTGAGAAAAAACATGGAAATCCAGCTTTCGGCTCCAAGACGGTCCCAGAGGGTCCCTAAATAGAGAAACGAGCTCTATACACCGACGCTTTTTCCGACCCTGCGCTGAAATTCGCACAGGAACGCGGATTCTGGTGTATGCGGGATCCTGGTATATACATTTTCGTTGTTTTCCGGGGACATCGGTGAAAAAAGTATACACCACACCACCCCAGCGTCGTCCCCGACCCTCAAAAAGTCCTAGGATTCAAGGAACAGCCCGCCACTGGTAATGTATACGTTCCAAGTTCCGACTAAAGGCCCTCTAGAGGCCACCGAAAAGGAGCCCCAGGAGCCCCGGCACGCCCCCGCGAGGCCCCCTCGGGAGGCCCCGAGGCCCCCTAAACTCCCTCCAGGACGCCCCCGCGGGGCCTGCACGATGCCTCCGAGAGGCCCGAAAACTGCGCCCGAGGCGCCTTCGAGACGCGTAGCTATAAACGGACGCGTTGCACAAAAATTCGTTCGCCATGATTATACAGATTCAGCCGTGCTGGGGGTCCTCCAAGTGCGTCCAAACGAAAACTGCCATCAAGATGCCTCCAAAAAGCTCAGTTCTGAACGCTGCAACACCAATACATGCTGCAACACCAAAGAAACTGCCTCCAAAGTGCTGCAACACCCAAGTGCTGCAACATCAAGATGCCTCTAAAGTGCTGCAACACCAAAACAATATCCACGGTTATACATGTTCAGCCGTCTTGGGGTTCTCCAAGAGCGCCCCCACAAGAAACTGCCTTCAAAATGCCTCGAAAACGATAAGTTCTGAACGTACGTGCTGCAAGCCACAACTGCCTTGCCTGCCTCGCCCTGCTGCCGCCTCGCTCGTCGCTTCCACAAGCGCGGTAGCGGATGTGAGCGGCAACGCCACGAGATGTGAGGATGGTTAGAGCCTTCTGTAGCCAAAGATCTACTCCAGATCTCGTAATAAAAGGGAGGGGGTCTGGACCCTCCAAGACAAGCCATTTCAGACCTCCCCCGTGGGAGAACCCTCCAAAACATCGTCCCCAGACCCCCCAGGCCCTCCAAGATAGCCTGGAAGAGACCCCCCCCCGAAATGAGACCCCCCTCCCTTTATTACGAAATCTGGAGTAGAGCCTTCTTAGCCAAAGATCAAATGGCTTTCGCGTAGCGGGATATCTTCCGGCGCCAAAGTTCGAGCAGCGTGCCCTCGTGCAGCTCACGGCAGCTTCCGCCCTCGATGAACCTGCGGCACGGAAGCCAACGCATGACCGCGAGCCACACCTCGTGTCCCTCTCCCTCCCTCTGCTCGTCCCTTTCCTCCTCCTCCTCCTCCTCCTCCTCCTCCTCCTCCTCCTCCTCCTCCTCCTCCTCCTCCTCCTCCTCCTTCTCTGTGTAACCCTCATCACACACACAACTCCTCATACATCGGCCTCGCCTTCCTTCGTATTCCTCGGTATTTCCCAGCTGCCCGCGCAAGCCTCGAAGCCTCGCCGCTGTTGGCGAAGCTGGCCGTGCGCGCGGGGGAGAAAGTCTCCCAGGGCGGGAGGACAGGGGAAGAGAAGAAGGGTACAAGCAGCAGTGGGGGGGGGGGGGGAGAGAGCGAGAGAGAGAGCAGGGGGAGAAAGCGAGAGAGAGAGAGAGAGAGAGCAGTGGGGGGGGGAGAGAGCAGGGGGGGGGAGAAAGCGAGAGAGAGAGAGAGCGAGCGGAGTGCGCCAGAGGGCAGGACGCCAGAGGGGCAGGACGAAGGGAGGCAGAGAGACAAAGAGCCGGATACTCAGAGACAGACAGATAGAGAGAGAGAGAGAGACAAAAAAAATGTATATATATATATATATATATATAATATATATATAAAAAAAAAAAAAAAAAAAAAAAAAAAAAAATGGAGACATCTCTATACAAACAAAAACACACACAGAACATTGAGGTGGGGAGGGGGCCTTGAGGCCAGGGCGCAGCGTGGACCACATAAGGCACGAGCACGTGTACAGTCGGGGCGCTGACCCAAGGAACCCTAAATAAGGAGCGAGGCCCCTTTTTTCCATCAGCTAAACTTCGATGTCCGATCGAAAACAGAAGGCAAACCTGAGGCAAGCTGTGAAACACGTAAGGACCGCGGAGCCCCTCCCCAACCAAAAGGGCTCCTTCTTCGGGGCCCCGACTGTATCGCCCGCGGCGCGCCCCGCGCTGGCGAGCCCGCGGCGTCGCCCGAGGTGCAGTGCGCCGCGCCGCGCGCACGCCGCGCACGTCGCGATCCCACCGCGGCCCCAGCGGGCTCGCGCCCCCACGTGATATGATGGGCCTGTTTTCAAACACCACCACCATGTGTTGGAGGGGGGGGGGGTCCTCCTCCTCCTCCTCCTCAACCTCCACCTCCTCCTCCTCTTCGTCCTCCTCCTCCCCTTCGTCCTCCTCCTCCTCCTCGCCGTCCTCCTCCCTTGCCCCTCTGACTCATGGTGGTTGTGTGGAAAACAGGCCCATCATCACGAGAAAGGCAACCAGGTGGTGAGCGCAGCGTGCAGTCGTGCCCTCGTGATCCCACCGCACCCCGAGTGCACTCGCGCCCGCCAACGAGAAATGCAGCCAGGCGGGGTGGCCCTGCAGAGCACGACATGCGCCCGATGGCGAGCGGAGCGCGGCGCCCCGGCCGCCAGAGGCCGGGTCTTATATAGAAGTGCGGCACGCTCGAGGAACGATGGATGCACCGTGCTGGGCAGGGCGCAGGAGTCGGGACGGCGACCGACGGAGGGAGCAAGAGCAGCGGGAGGAGGGCGGAGGGAGGACGGCGACCGAAGGAGGAAGGAGGGCGGAGGGAGGGAGGAGGAGGGAGGGAAGGAGGAGGAAGGAGGAGGGAGGAGGGAGGAGGAGGGAGGAGGGAGGAGGGAGGAGGGGGAGGGGAAGGGAGGAGGGAGGGGGAGGAAGGGAGGAGGGACCTCATCAGTGCACTCCTGATCAAGCCCGGACTCGCGATAAGGGAGGAGGGGGGAAGGAGGAGGAGGAGGAGGAGGAGGAGGAGGAGGAGGAGGAGGAGGAGGAGGTGAGGAAGGGAGTGCAAAGGGGTGAGGAGCGGCAGCAGCGGCAGCAGCTGCGGCAGCCGTGGCAGCAGGCATGAGAGCATCCGTGCGAAGCAGGACGAGGAATGAGAGCAGGAGGCCTGCACCCCGTGGAGCTGGGCGAGACGCACAGCTCCAAGCAGGGGCAAGGGGGGAAGGGAAGCCACCCCTGAACTTGCTCCCTGAACTAAATCCTTCCAGTGCACCGCTCCCGTGCCCGAGGCCTGCTCGCAGCTGCATTTTCATCAGACTCCAGACTGATAAGATCCACCTCCTCCTCCTCCTCCTCCTCCTCCTCCTCCTCCTTGTCCTCCTCCTTTTGCTTCTCCTCCTCCTCCTCCTCCTCCTCCTCATCATCATCATCATCATCATCCTTTTCCTCCTCCTCCTCCTTCTTCTCCCCCTCATGTTCTCCCCGTCGTTTCGTTTCGCCTCTCCCATTCCTCCCCGTCTCGTCCTACTGTGTCGCAAAAGCCGAAAACGAAGCACGCATTGTCTCAAAGCGCCAGGCTACGGCAGCGGCTGCGTCTGCATCACTACGCCTGCTCATCACGGCGTTTTCCTATCCAATATATTGACATGTATAATACTACTCGCAGTGGCTGTCACAAAACAGCAAGACCAAAAGCATATTCCCCGCCCTGCCTTTTGTACCTGAGCAGGCGTCAGAACTCCCCACGCCCCGAGCCCTGCCAACACAAGGCCCATTCCCAGGACCATGCGCCCCTTCTGGTAATGCTGCTCCTCCTGCATCCTCCCCCAGCCCCACCCCCCTCCTCCTGCTCCTCTCCCTCCAACCGCCCCCCAGGCGCCCTGGTTGGAATCCGATTCACCGTACTCGCCTTAGCTCCACGTCTTTCACTCCATGGTTTCGCTTCCATCGCATGCCCATCCTGGGCCGAGCTGTTGGAGGCCTGGAAATGGGCACCAACACCAACACAGGGGGTTGCCTCTAGACGGGGAAGATGATCCTAGATTGAAGCGCTGGTGGTAATATCTCGGCCACCTCGGAAGCCACACTATCACCACCACCGAGATCGGGCTCGTCTCCCCCTGGTGGAGGCACACCGCCGAAATTGGTGTTGGTGTCAATCTCTAGGCCTGCGAAGCCGGGCAAGGGCGCCAGCCATCATCGCACCATGTTTGCATGTGGGTCAACCCTCTCCGACAGAGTACGAACGCGAGGGGAGGTGGGGGGAACCCCCCCTACGAGGCGCGCCCTCTGAGCCAGCTTCGCGCACGCGATCGAAGGTCAAGTCCCCCCCCCCCCCTGCGCTCGACTCTGTCAGCCCCGCAAGCCCGTGCCCGACCCACCCCAAAGCCGGGACAAGCGAAACCGCCGGCAGGAACTCGGGGCTATCGGAGTCTGCTTGCCCCACGTCCAGGCGCGGCCCGCCATCACTCCGAGGGCGTTGGCGGCCGCCCTTGCTGCCGAGCAGGTGCGGCACCGTGCAGACAAGAAGCCACGAAGGGCAAAACCGCCGATCAAGTGCTGGAGCGAAGCCCTACATTGAAGGGGCCCAAGAACACACAAATTCGCCGGCCCAACGGGCCAGAGGCGTGCTAACATCTCCGGTAACTACTTAACAATACAATATTTCTAGTTCGCGCGCGCGGGGCGGCCCATGGGGGCCCCCGGACGAAAATTACCCCGGCCGATCCCCGGCCGGGTCCCGGCTGGGTCCCGGGCGATCCCCCAGGGGGAAGCTATTTTTCGCCACCCCTCACGAGGATCGTGGCCTCCGAGGGGGTGGCTGCAATCGACTACCCCCCCTCCCGCCCCAAGGGGCCCCCAAGAGCCCCCCAAGAGGCCCCATGGGAGCCCAAGACGCCGCCGAGGAGCCCCAAGACGCTCCCAAGAAGCCCCCAAGAGGCCCCCACGACGGCCCCAAGATGCCATGCCCCAAATAGCGCTCCAGGGCCAGCGGAATGAGCGAACCGATTAAATAATTTACACCATAGAAAAGCCCCAATCAATGGATAGTGTTCGCTGAGGAGATCAACCGGGAACCCGTGAGCCCGGGAACCCAAAACCCGCCAAAATCGGCCTGGAACCAGTGACCGGGAACCAAGGAACCTGGAACCGGGAACCTGGGAACCCAGCACGTTACCAAATTCGGCTGGAGAATTCGCCAAATCTTTCAACTTCCGCTAAGACCCCGTCAGTGCAAGCACTGATTGGAAAAAACACAAAAGACCGGATTCCCCATCTTTTCCAATATTTTCTGGGTTTGCGTCGTCCCCCACATGGAACGGAGACCCCCAACCGGGAAATCGTTTCGTTTCGTTCGTGTCGCGCGTGCGGGCGAGGCGAAACTGCGAGGGCGCGCGAGAGACATGAACCCGCCGCTGCTAGGGCGAACCCAAGGAGAAGTCGCGTCGAGGCTGGGCCCGCGCTAACGCAGGGCACAACCGTCGACTGGCGCAGGCCCAGGCCAGGCGGTGGGGTGAGCGCGAGTCGGCGTCGCGGAGCCGAGCAACCTCGCCGACGCCTCCCCCAAGCCTGGCGCTGGGTCAGCCCAGCCTCGACACAACTAGCAGCCACTGCGACGCCAGTGCGCTCGCGCAGCAGGGTCGGGCGGGTGGGGAAAAACGCATCCCGCCAGCGGGACGGCTACGCGTGAGACAAATCCCATCCACCTGCGACGAGAACGCGCTCGCGGGCGCGCAGGGTGGGGATCCGCCTCAGCCGTGAATAGCCGCCCCGCAGCATTAGAGACAAGCAAGAAGATAGCCCATAGGGGCCACGACGCTCGCGCGACTTCTCCCCGCGCTCAAATGCTGCCCAGAGCGCCCATGAGAAGTCGCGTCGAGGCTGGGCCCGCGCTAACGCAGGGCACAACCGTCGACTGGCGCAGGCCCAGGCCAGGCGGTGGGGCGAGCGCGAGTCGGCGTCGCGGAGCCGGGCAACCTCGCCGACGCCTCCCGATGCATGCTCGGCGGAACGACGCCCAAGCGCGCTCTAAGCAGACCGCAGATGCCTGGTCTGCTTGACTCACGGCCTGGGCGGCCCCTGCACCGCTTCCGCGGCGATCGGCGCGTCCTGCGCGCCCCGCGCCGCCGCGGAGCCCCGACCCCGATGCCTGCAGGGCGGCGCCTCGTCGGAATCGGAGTGCGCGATCTCGGCTTCTGCCGCCAGCACCATGGCTCGCGTCTTTGCGGCCGGGTACCTGCGCGCCGCCAAGCGCCGCGCCCTCGCGACCCAGGCAGCGCGGCCGTGCCCCCTGTCGGAATGGAGTGCCCGAACGCGGCCACAGATCTCCAACCCCCTTCGAAGAACAGCGCTGCTGGCCCCCCGGTGCGGAGTGCCTGCGTGCGAGAGACACGAACTGCGCGCGGGCCCTGGGTAGGCAGGGGACGGCAAGGGGAGCCCATGCCTGGTCGGCCCGGCCGCGCCTGAAGCAATGCGTCCCCCACTCCAATGCCCTATGGAGCCCGAGGTGGGCAGCGGCGAGCTCGACGCAAGCCAGCCCGTCCA